GTAGAAACTATACAGACAGGACACTGACATCATCATACGACGAGAAATCAATTATTATGCAGTGTATCAAAAGAGATTAACTTCTTCTTTTTTACTATTTACTCTCTCACAATTTTATTTTTTTAATTCTCAATATATTCCTTAAAATTTTATTTTATGTGATTTAGCTTTTTTGAGTTAAAATTATCCTTTAATTGTATATTTTTTAAGAATAAAAATTAAATTAAAGATGAAGCATTAAAATAAAAAAAATATGGAAAATACTTTAAAGGGTGAATTGAACACCTCTTGTCTTGAGTTAGCTTCATTTTTTTCTTTATCCTTTGAAATATTAGGTTATCAATTTCTGTGATTTTTAAAAAATTTATTTTGATACAAAACTATATTTTTAGTCATCTTATGACTAAAAAAAAATCATTAGATTTTAATATATATAAAAAATTATTATTATTGATGATTTCATCTATCAAAATAGTTAATTTTTATATCAAATAGTTCTATTTAATTAGATGGGAGTTACAATTAAGTTTTTTTTAATTTAAAAACATATATGAAATTGAAAAAGATTTTTTGATTTCATGTTCATTTCCAGTTTTGGACTTTTTTCTTGTGATTCTAAAGACATATGTTGGTTTAGCAAATTTCATATGGTATTTTCTAGGTTTTTTTATAAAAACAATAAGTTGAAAATTAGTTTTTTTATATAAAAACAAAATCACGGTTTTCCTACCATACAATGGCCAAATTTAAAGCTTAAAAGATGATGATTTATCTGTTAATACGGATAATATATAGTTTTTTCAAATGATTTTGCCCATCCTATTAAACTTTAAAAAAAAAATAAAAGACTCATGCAAGGCCATATCTTCATGGGCCTTGCTACAACACTCGGCAACAAGTGTTCTAGTTCTTTTTTAAAAAAAATTAAATTTTTTAATGAATATCTTATTTTATATAATTTTTTTATGTGATTAAATTGTTTTCGCTTATTTAGTATTTTTTAGATTGTGATTGATTTTTTTATGATTGTATGTGTTTAATTTTAAAAAATGTTGATATGATTTATCTGTGAGTGTTTTTTTAACAATTTATATAAATTGATTTTTTTTATAAGATTTTTAATATTTGGGATATTGTAAAGTATTTATTTTATGTTATTTTATTCATACGAGTTGAAAAATTAACAAGGATTGGATTTTTTTCTCAAATTTGTAGTTCCATCTTGTTTTTCAGTTTTTTTTGTTGTTATCTTTTATTTTTATTATGTTATTACACTAATCAAGATCTAATTTGGTTATCAAATTTTTTTTTGCTTCTTTAAAAACATAAGCATCTCTTAAAAAAATTTCTTTCTGGTTAAAAAAAGTTGGAGCTTGGATATTTCATAAACATTATACAAATAATATCATTGAAACTTTTTATGAATATTATATAAATATATTTTTATAATATTAAAAAACATTTATTTTTTGCATTAAATTGTTGTTTTTTTCTTCTTCTTTATTTGTTATTGATATCTTATTTTATAATAATATTATTAAATTAATCAAGTTTACTAACCTCATTAGTATTCTAGAATCTTAGTTTTTTTTTGAAAAATATCTGTATTATTTTAAATTTTTTTTACTATAAAAAAAATTGCAAGCCCGCCTAGTGAAATGCTACAATCCATTTGGTCTGGATTATTTACTCAGGAAGGGTTGACTGGAGAGGCTAAAGGGATTATTATACATTGTAAAACTTTTATTAACATATAATGTAAATCAATACGCGTGATGCCACAATAAAGTCGTAGGTGAACTGTATAATACTTCTGGATATGCCTTGCAACAACGTCACTGTCATTACCTTTTCCCGTTAAAAAAGTCAAAAGATTTTGGAGCTAGCAAAACTTTGTTTTCTGGGTTTTTACTAGCAGACAATGAGGAGAAAAAAAGAAAAAAAAGAGGCCTTATGGGCACCTGAATATCGATAAGATAGAAGGCATGTGGGCCCAGTGGACAGTAGTTTTTATTTTTATGTTTGAAAATATTTTAATATTTTTTTTAGAATTTTTTGAAGTCATCATTAAAAATAAATTTTAAAAAATAAAAAAAATTATTTTAATATATTAAAAATAACCACAATCATAATAATATCAAGCTATCAACCGTAAAAATATGGCTCAGCCAGTGGCGTCCTTGTAACTCGTGATGCGTCTAATACAATGCATTTGCCAGCTTGAATGAGGCTGCAATCTCTTAGATGTATTCGGATAAATTTTACAATTAACATATAAAAATAGTGAATAAACATAATTTTAAAAGTCGCTATTCTGAAAATAATATTATAGTTTAAAAACACATGTAATGAACCACGACAATCAATTAATATCACGGTTCTCAACGCGTCATGTATTTTTTATTTTATTTTTTTATTGATAACTTGAGATGTCAAGTCAATTTATACTTATCATAATTAATTTTTAAATTCACTAAATATTTTACAAATCTAATAAATAAATAAAACACTGTGCAAACATAATAAATATACATACTAAAACTTGAATCCAGAATGCAGAGGCAGGATACCAGCCTCGGTGCCGTATTTTTTATTTTCTTGTTTCTACGACATGCGCCCCGCGCCCCTTCTATCTAAGGAGGAACTGGAAACAACTGATAAAGAAGAAACAAATGCAGATAATCTGGAGACCACCCAAGCTACTGTTGATGGTTCCAAGGCTGGGGATGCTGAGAAGCAGTCTTCAGAGGCAAGTTTATTTACTAATTCATAAATTATCGCGCTTCTAAGGTGTAATATTTTTTAATCGCGATTGACTAATTCATATTAAATTATCACGCTTCTCGAGTATAATATTTATTTAATCGTGAATGAAAACAGAGAAATTTAAGTATATATTGTGTTTTTAAAGCACAAGAAGGTAAACAAAATACACTATTTTATTAAAAATTTTAAATTACTATACTAATTTTTTTTTAAAAAATCCCCTGAATTCCAAGACTCCCACTTGGAAGGTTTAATCTTTTCAACCATGCGGTTGTCGACCAGTCAGGATTAAGCATGGATAAAGAAACCAGGTAGAAAATGTAACCTTCGCTTGATAGGTTGTGTTCGTGTCGAAAGCATGTCGAGGTTGTGTTTATAATTGTTATAAAAATTAGTTTGTATCTAAAAAAATATAATTTTTAAGAAATTATTTATAATATCAAAATAATAAAAAAGAAATAAAAAAACATAAAAAACACCACGCAAACAGACAGTTCCGAATTCTAGCGTGGGATCCGCCATTTTGCTTGGTCCTGAAAAAACAACAACCAATAACTGATCATATAATTTGTAATCAAATTGAAAACCGTAACTCAAAAAAATATTATGTGATTTCGTTTTTTTACAAAAAACAAAATAGAAAGAAAAAGAAATTGATGACGTTGGACTTGGTTGGCCTACAGTTCCGAGCATTGCCATAGGATACGACGGTTTGATGACTCATTGATTCTAGAACTTGTTTTGGATAAGAATAAAAAAAACCCCGTATTTTTTTTTTTTTTAATCTTATAAGGGTATCGAGTGCCCCAGGTCTTGAAATGTCACGTGCTCATATCACATGGTGAGAATGTCACAGAGGGGGTGTCCGTTGCTCTGCAGAGCATGGACGCGTGCCTGGCTCTCGGGCAACGGACGGTGGACCACCGCAATAAAAGATAACATGAAGATAAGTCGGCCATAAATGTACGCTTTACTTTTCTTAGCAAATTCATTGATGGCAGCAGCAACTTTATGCTGAAATTGCAGGCACACCCGCACCGCACGGCTTAGAAAATTTATCTTATTGATTTATAGTGTAGAATATACTAGAGATGATGGCTGTAAACGTGTTTTTATATTTTAAAAATATTTTTTAAAAAATTCAATTTTTTATTTGTTTTATATTAATATTTTTTATTATTTTTAACTAATTTTGATATGTTGATATTAAAAATAATTTAAAAAAAATAAAAAAAATATTATTTTAATATATTTATAAATAAAAAATATTTTCAAAAACAACTATGACCATATTTATAAATACTCTAAAAATATTATTAATCCATGTAAATTTTGAGTTAATTTAATAAACAAACTATAAATTTTTAATTTGATCTATACAATATATCCTGACTTGGATATATATAATAAAAAACAAACTTGATTCTATAATGAAATAATTTAAAAAATAGGTTTCATATAAGTTTAGAATTTAGATTTTGAACGGTTAAAAGAATTGAACATCATTTTTTCTTTTTCTTTTTTAATTTTCAATCCAAATTATTTTTTAGCTAAGAGATTAGGACCTGAGTAAAGAGCCCACTAGATAAATAGGAAACTGGCTAGCCCAGGCAGGACTCTACATTGGATCCAACTTTCTGATCAGGATTAGCAGAAGCAAGGCAATCTCTATTATGTCCACGTGTTGCCCCAGAGAGGACATGGTGGAAAAGGCCCATTTACAGTTTTGAAGCCCAGGAAAACTCCATCAATTCATCCAGTTACTGAGCTATGTCTAATATCGATTTAATCACTATCATGTCCACGAATTGACAGAGAAAAAAGACTCGTACCTAGATTATAGCTATGATAAATTAATAGCCTTGATTAAAAAATATTTTCATTATTTTAAAATTGAAATAATATATTAATTAATTTTCATGATCCTAAAAGTATTGATTTACATAGACTCTTTAGCTTAATTAATATTGTTCTGAATTTTTGTTTTTTTCCCTCTTTAACCTATTGTTAAATAGGTGTGTTCAACCAAGCTTGGATATTTATTTTTTGTAGATAGCAAACACGTATAGATATTTATTTTTTGTAGATAGCAAACACATATATAGACATATATTAAAAAAATGGAATTTGAAACTGAGGTAAATGTTTTAATCTTTGAAGACAATAAACACCAATTTTAGATATAAATAATTCCAATAAAAAAAATGACTTGCTGCCCCACCATCTCTACCTCTTAATAAGCATAATTTAAATACATCAAAAACTTGTGCTCAACCGGTTATGTGAAAGACATGTCATTTGCTATAATGGAAAACCCAGCAAGGCCAAAAGGGTCTCGACTCAATCACCATCCAGATCTGCGAGTGGGCCTTTATTATCCCACATCGACAAGATAGAAAGGGAGGGTCTCAGACCTTGCTATAAAATAGAGAAAACAACCCCCTACCAATCATGATCCTTCAGGGTTTAACGGGATATGATGAGTGGTCAGTGCTCGCATATAAACATGCGAGAAGGGTGTCCAGCTCACTCCCTGGTTACGACAACCGGGCACTCCCATCTTCACCTATCTGATCCCTAACTGAAGGCATCTCACAAAATCTTCAATACATTATAAAATTTAGCCTCGGAAATTTTTTGATTTAAGTTGGGTTAAAGCTTTATATGGTGTCAGGTATGGTTTACATTGTTAGTTCTAAAATAAACAAAGCTTGAAAGATATGAAAAAGTCGATGTTTTTCTCGAGATTACGTTGCACTGCTCCGGCTCTGGACTAAAGTTTTTGCTTTTCTTCCTTCCCTGGGCGTGTTCTATTCGAGGTCTAGCTCACTGGGCCGGGCTAGCTGAACTTTGGCCGAGTTTCAGATCCTTGAACTCGAATACCAAACTCGACTAGGTGCACAATTATGAAGCAATTAATGGCCCAAAATACTGAAGGGGAGTGACAACAACATGCTTCCTAGTTCCTGTCAACAAAAAGATCAAAACAATAAATTCTATTTTACTTTCTTTTTTCTTTTTGGAGAATGATCCCATGTAACTTAGATTACAAGCAGTATAAAGTTCGATTTGTGACAGATTACTTGGCTTCTATTGGATTTACTAGTTAAGGTGCTGTTTGAAATTGGGTTAGAAATAATATTTTATAAAGTTTTTATTTTTTTTGAATTGTTATATTAATTTTATATATTTCTAAATAAAAAATAATTTAAAATAAAAAAATAACCGTTACAATATTTACAAACAAGTGAAACTTTTAAAAGTGAAAGTCTTTTCAAATTAAGAAAAAGAGAAGGAAAGGAAAAGAAGCAGCACATGATAGGATGAGAAGCCGCTTGTAGTTTCCACGAAAGGTGCCTCTGCGGCGGCTAATATTTTGTTTCATTTCTTCATGCCCTAGCTTTTTGCAAATTCCTTTTGAGTTCAAAGAATGCAGTCCTAAATTTACATCCCATAAATGATTATTCCTCCTCCTTCCCTCTTAGACACGGAGCCATCCTGGCTTTCTAGGAAATGCTTATGTTAGACTCGGTTCTGAAAACACTGAGAAATATCCCAGCTCACACGCCTACGGAAAAAATTCAAAAAAGGAAATGAAAATTGTAAGCATTATAACAAAATTCAACAAGAAAATGAAAGGAATTATACAAAATTCCCTTAAATGATAAAATTCCTCCCCTGTTTGATGCAGGGAAAGGAAACCGAGATGACACTGTGATCTTTACCGTACCTGATCTTCTCCGATAACAAGATAATACCTGATTACAGAAAAAGGAAACCAAGGTGAAATCATAACCATTCCTTTCAACAAATTCTTGCGTTCCCTGTAAAACCATGCATTTCTACATCTCAGATGACATGATGGGATTTGCAAGGGACAAAAACGCATAGAAGAGGGACAGTAGGAAGTAATAGAAGATTTTGAAGGAATAAGATAAAGAATCAGTCAAACTAAAAGTGGTTTCAACTAATCTAATCTCCTAGCAGAGAGCTGCAAACCAACTTTGGCTTGAAGTCATGTTCCAAACCATGTAGATGTTGGTTGGCTGGCAGGACTTTGCTAGGAGATCAAGCCAGTTTCCTTGGTGGTTCGGTCTTCCTCGTAACTTGTTGGTTTGTGTTTAACACGCAGTCCATCAGGGCAATGGTTCAAGGCTAGTTAGAGAGAAGGTAATTACCACAGCTTCCTCTCTTAGTTTTTCTCACTGCCTTTCCCATCTCTCCAAAATCTTCTCTTGCCTTCTCTTTATCCTCTACTATGGATTTTTGTCCCTGCTAATCTCACCCATCCATTATTCATAGACGACTGTTCTTCCTCTCTGTTTGCAACGATAATTCCGAAATCAGATGTCTGTAATCTCAAATAAAGAACGTAAAATAAACTACATCAGAATTCACAGGGAACAACGAATTGCAATACAAAAAACCTGTCTATAACCCATTAATCATGTAATGAAACTTAAGTAATATGTACCTGACTCTTTCTTCCTTCAATCCATGGAATTCACGTTCCTCTTCGCATATGTTAAACTTGAGTATAATGCTGTATTTTATAAGAGAAATTACAGCAGAGGAGTTTCGGTTAGGGCAGCGTTTCCTCAGGCCTCGAGCACGGTTTCCTGGAAATTGCATCGTAATCACGTCTATTCCCACCACTTCACGCATAACTTGTAGGAAAATGAAAGGAAAATGTTGTGGTGTAAAGCGAAAATTAGGTATTTTCTCTCTCAAAAAGAGTAATTAGAAGGGTATAATATAACTAATTACAATTTATACATTAAAAAAATTACAAGAAAAAATATTAGTTATAATATAATTTATGATATACCGAATCTGCTCTCCCGATAATTTTCTCTCAAACCATGTTGAAATTAATTTTAAAGTCAAAAGTAGTTTTTAGTTCTTCTAGGTATTTTGTAGGATCATGTAAATATTAAATTAAGATGTGTTTATTTTTTAAGTTTATTGAATTATCTTGTAATAGTGTGTGTGTGTGTGTATTCAAGTATTGTATAGGTCCAGTAAAATAAAACTTTCCTTACTTACTCTTCTCCCCTAGTTATTTTCCAACAAACCAAACTTGAAAAGAAATGGCAATGTCGTTGATTCAAAATCTGCAAACTCAGAAACCACTAGGAAATTGCAGGAATCAAGTAAACTGTAGATCAGCCATTCTCGCACGTGAAAATCAAGGGTGAAGCACATTTTGATCCTATAAGTCTCCAAACTGTTCTACCGCAGTTGCAATTATTGAAGAAAAAAATTATCAACAACAGCTTTAATGTGTTTACTTAGTTTACTTTGATGTGCCCCCGCGTACACTATACATCATTCAAGTTTTAATATAAATATAATTCATTTATTATTTGTGTTGCCACATGATAGATGGTTTTTCAACTCAATTATATATTTAAGTTGAGTATGCGAATCAAAACTAAAATTCTTTATAAGTAAACAATGCAGAGCTTACAATTTCTGGACTTTTTCTATAAAAATGGTCGCATGTTTGTAGTTTTTGGATGGGAAGGAGAGATAAAAATAAGATGAAGTCAGAGAGAGAGAGCGAGAGAGGGAGGGAGATTAAGCTAATATATTAGCAGCTTTGGAACAAATCAAAAAATTAACATAGGATTGGTTTATTTTCAATTATTAAGCATAATATGTTATCATATATGCTTCTTTTGGAAGACGAAAACTGAAAAGCAATATATATATATAAAACACGAAAGATTTTACTCGAATCTTACTTTATTGCCATACAACCTGTCATCCTCCTCTCAAGCTGCTTCATTTTTTCTTCTCTTAATAACAAATACATCTGCCCTAATTCACACCTATTTTTAGGCCGATTTTTTATATTAAAAAGTAGAATTGGTAACGAAAAAACACACTGATTTTAAATTCGATATATTCCCAATAAAAGTTTTTTCCTACACGCATAGAAAGGTTTTGAACCATAACAATATTTATATATGAAATGTTATCATACACTGATAAATATTTCCTTCAAAATTCAGTTTAGAAACAGATTAAAAAGTTGATATGGCCTCAATAATGATGGGTGAGAAAATGATGGGGAAACAATAATTAGTGAGGATATATTGACGAATGGAAAGACTACGTAACAACCCACTTTAATTATATAAGCCTTTGCATCAAGGTTTATCATATACTTATATATTGGTCTAAAAAAACAAAAACAAATCAAGTAATATTAAAAAAAAAATTCTCTTAATTTTTGCCGGTTTAAAAAATATATTTTTAGTCATACTTTAAAAAATAATAGATTTAAAAATACATATTTGGTTAAAATTGATATAAAATAGATTTTTTATGCAAAATAAAAAAAATATATCATCTTGAATGAAAAATTTAATATTTTAATTCATATTTAAAACATAAAATACAAGAATTATTTAGTTAAACAAATATCTTTTTATCCATGATCAAAGTAAAAAACATAAGTTAACATAATATCCAATACCAAACGTAGGCGATGCTTTTCCACTATCCAATCGGACGCTCCCTTCTTGCCCCTTCCATATTGTTTTTGCAAATTCTTTCCACCTAACAAAGAACCCCTCCCCTTTTTGAGACGGAGCAAATTATAAACATCTTTAAAAAAGAAAACAAGAACATACCTTATTTCAGTACTGAATTGCACCATGGTCTTATCAGAGCAAATTAACAATATGGGCGTGACTCGCGAGGGACAAAAATGCATAAGGGAAAAACAAAGGTAGTATATATCGATCTTTCTCTTCCCCTTTCATGCCCTTTTACACATCTCTCTTATGCGATTTTTGCCCCTCGCTGATCCCATCCATGAATAGGGCACAAGCACTGAGACCAAGGAGCTTGCACACCAGCAGTAGATCCTCCTCGTTGCATGTCGAACTAGAAGGAGACGTTCCTTTAATAGAAGGAATTCGGTGGCCCACAGGAATATCCTCGTAGATTCAACATGAGCCCCATTAAAAGGCCGTCAGTTGTGTTTTCCATGAAAGTTCTTCGACATTACTCTCCAGCCCTTTGATGCAATACCAACCACAGTTGGTGAATTACTTCTTTTTTTTGTTTTTTCCATACGTTGAAAGAAAAGAGTAAGAATTAGGGTTTTAATAATCATTTTCTCCCAGTCTCAGGGCTGAGATGAATTTTCTCGCGAACTAACGGAGACAGACACGGGAGCCACGCGGTTAGAATTTAGACAATGGTATTTTATTGCTTTTTCCCTGGCAACCGAGTGCAATTTTTATTTTTTATTTTTTATTTTTATAAAATTGTCACCTTAATAACTAAAAAACTAGAAAACCCCCCAACCTAACGTGTACCCGGTAAACAATGCAACATGTTAGTTTTGGTTTTTTTATTGAAAAAAATAAAGTCCACATGCTATTGATTAATACCACCTAATGTAGAGTTCATTTTTTAAAATTATTTCTATGATTTTTGTCACATATTAACTGAGTTATTCTCAGAACGGAAAAGAGAAAATTCAACAGAATTCCAAAATAAAAATGACCATACAATTACGATAAAACAGGAAATAAAAGAAAAGAAAATATAAAATCCACCTCCAGCAAGTCCGCTGATCACTCTTACCTTTTCCCTTCCTTGTTACATTTTAAAAAATGAAACCACAGGGAAATTACTGGAATTAAAAGTAAAGGAAATTACTGGAATTAAAAGTCAAGGAGACATCGCCAATGTGGCACGAAAAAAATCTTCTCTATACTAAACAAATATTCATTTTTGTTACGTTTAATTTTTTTTTATCTAACTTGCAACTAAGCACAGGAGTATAAACTACTCAAACCAAAAACACAATTTGGTCCTATAGTTCTCCAAAAGTATAATGGAGATGTTATTGTTTTAAAAAATATCAATATCAACTTTAAATGTTCATTTCACATGATTAATTTGCATATCGTGCTATTAATTAGAAAAAATACAGAAAAATAAAGAAATGAGTGATTTTATTAATATCCTTATTTAGCTATTTTACTTCGAATGTACTGATATTGATGCTCTTCCGGTGCCGTGTTTGTTGGAAGCATAAAAACTAACAGGTAGTTGGTTGAAGTAAAATCACTTGTAAGAGGAGCTGAAGGTTCCTAGAAACTACTAATTCTATAGAAGTATAATTTCAACGGTATTTATGTTTTCATCACCTGTGGAGCGTACGTTGACGGCTTCAAGTCTCTTGAAAAAGAGAAGACTAAATCACCTCAAATCCTTTTAATTAATTTATTTATTATCAAATTAAGATAAACTCTTGGTTTTTTAAAATCCTAACTTAATTGTTTTAGATTTTTTTAATGAAAAATATATCATTTTGTCAATATTATAATCGCCATGAAACACGAAATTTGCAAAATCAAAATTAATTAATGTCTTGGAAAAATAATAAGAAAAAACTAAAACTAGTTTATTTACGGCAAGGAAAATTGATATTGAGAAATAAATAAATAAAAAAAAGTTAAGGACATCTCGAGGGAGGGCTTTCTTCCATAATATTCGGAGCTTAATTTTCCGAACAAGTTGCAAGCAATCTTGTTTTGGAACAAGTTGATATATTGCAGTCGTTAAATAAAAGCAATCTGTCTCCAAATCTATGAAGTTGAAAAAATCCTGTACTTTCTAAATAAGAAACAAACCCTACACAATTTCTTTTTCCCTCTCTAGGTTCCTTCAAATCCACAAATCCCACGTAAACCCACCACGACGTTACTGATTTGATGTGGGCAACCGCAGCTGTCGTGGCGGTGCTTATTTCCCGTCCTTTTCTTTTCTTCCATCTGCTCCTCTAACAGTGACGATTTTCGATGGGTTTTAACGGGGATCATGGCGATGTGGCTCTCGTGCTGCATTTTACATATCCTCTTGACCCGCGCATGTAACAAGTGAAACCACTACATCGGAAACTACAAGGATCAAGTAAACTGTAGATAAGCGAATCTCCAACGTAAAAATCAAGGGTAAAGTACATTTTGATCCAGTAATTTTCCAACAGTTCTACCCAGCAGCTATTGTTTTATATAACAGATGTGAATATCAGCTTTATTTTGTTCAGTTTACTTTGGTGTGCCCACATGTACACTATTAATTATTTTAAAATAATCAAGTTATTTTTTTTATTCCAGCAAATACCCTCATGTTTTACTGCAAATATAATTTATTTATTTGTTTTTCGTATTGCAGCATGATAGATGGATTTTTCAGCTCAATAATATATGTAAATTGAGCCTGCGAATCAAAAATAAAATACCTTGTTTTTTTTCGTGTATCTGTAGTTTTTGGAAGGAAAAGAAAGATAAAAAATAATGTGAAGATTGAAAGAGAGGGAGATTAAGCATAGGATTATATTGGTTTCCTTTTAGCAGCTTTGGAACAAATCAAAAAACATAGGAATATTGTTGTTGAGGTTTTTTCTTCAAAGAAGAATATTGTCATGGAACATTTGGAAACCGTGCAAATATTACCATATATATATATATATATATTTATATAT